TAAATTGTTTTTTGGAAAGAAAATGAAAAAAAAGGGAATGAACCCAAAACAAAAAAAAAAAAAAAAAAAAAAAAAAAAAGTTAGTGTCTACCTGGAATGAGCTGTAGTTTAAGGAGGAAGCTCATTTTAGCAGCTTCAATTTGGAGTTTAGTTTTTTTGGTCATGATCCATATGCCATGACTAACGTAGAAGGTTATGGCGTAACATTCACCACCATAACCTTCACCAGCCTTAAGGGGACGAGCTAAAGTGTCTTGATCTTCAGTGATGGTTGGATGGGCTGGGAAATGGATACTTGGACACATGGGCCAATATCTGCAGTAATTAAGACGATCTTGTAATCTTGTTGGGGTGAAGAACAAGCTGAACCAAAAATGCAAAGTTCTTCATTTTACCATTTTATATACTGTTAGAGATGCCCCACATAAATTTTACTAGATACACATTGGCATATTTGACCATTTTTATAAAGGACTACAAAGTCTCAGTAAAGAACCACAAAAGTTGAATGTTGAAAGTCTTGGGGCCTAGTGGACATGAAATCTACTGGGCTCTAGTCATTGGATCTCTTGTTGTCACATGAGCTAGCTGATGAGGAAATAATCCAGTTTGAGCATGGACAAATTATAGTTTTCTTTTCTAGTTGGAAAGCTTCTTGGACTCCAGAAGATATTCTGTCTGGCAGATAGTTAATTGCTTTTCAAAATTAATTATTGCAGCTTGCATAGAGGTGTAATTTTTGTGAGGGGGGCACTCTCAAGGGAAAACAAATTAATAGGCAAATTTTACACCCTGTTCTTCCCTGCTTCAAATGATAAACACGTCATTTCAAACAATTTCGTATTAATTGTTTTATACCACCATTAAGAACGCTCTTTTATTATTATGCAGTTACATGCCTTTAATGGGTCATGTTGACTTTGATATGTCCTTAAATGACGTGTTAGTAGTGCAGAGTCGGAGTAATGACAAAAGCTTTGTTGTCTTGCAGCATGTTGACTTTTCTGGTTCTCCCTACAACTACACTGAGGTTGTAGAGGATTGACCTTTGCTTACAGCTCTGTTCAACATCTTCACTTCACACAGTTTGTCTCAAGTTTAAAAAAATACACAGAGATACTCAAGAAAGACATTATCACTAAAAGTGAGCAGTACAAAAATGATTAGTTGCTTAGCTGCTGAAAGTTGTCAATGTTTCCAAACAAAATACTTCCACTGGGAACCAACATTGCTGTGTCTAATGTCTGGGTTTAGTATGGATAGTATGTCACTCTTGTCTTGAAGTCTTGTTTTGACTTTACCCAGAGAGCTATAATGCTAGAATCAAAACAGATTGCCAACAGTTTCACCACTTGTACACATCCATCTAATGTTTTCGGGTTGCAGAGGTTCTGGGTACACGAGGGAAATCCACACATCTTTCTTCCCAGCATCTGTAATATTATTCTGGTTGATCCCAAGAAATTCCCAGGACACAATAGCTGTATAGTCAGCTTGGCTAGTCGTGGGTCTTTTCCTTGGTCTTCTTTTAGATGGACATGCTTAGAAAAGCTCCAAGGGGAGGCACCCAAGAGGCAGACCAGAGTCCCAAACACCTCACTTGATTTTTTTTATAAAGCAGATAAAGAAGCTACTCCTCCTGGATGATGGAGTTCCTGCACTCAATTTCTGAGGATTAGTCCAGCCTCCCAAAGATGGAAGCTCATTTCATCTGCTTCTAGCCAGGATCTTGTTCTTGTAGTAGACTGGTAAATTGAGAACTTTATATTTTAGCCCAGCTTTTTCTTCATGTATTCCTGTGGACAAGATCCTAGTGTGTGAATGCATCTATTCATCCTTCCAACAATCACTCACGGCAAAGACTGACCCGTGACCTCGAGGAAGAAGCCCAGCCTTTACTAGTTGAGATGAATGCCCTGAGACCTAGAGAAGCTAAAGGTCAAGGCTTAATGATGCCTGTAGAACCACATTCTCTGCACAAGGAAGAGACCCTGAGGCTTCCAAACAGGACATCCCCCTCTTGGTGACCAAGCTTTCAGATTCCATCCAGAAACACCATCAATGGGACAGAATCCAATCTGCGAATACAGCTCTTGCTTTGGTCATGCAAAGACCAAATGAACTTTAATAGCAACTCTGGCTCTAAGCTGTGGCGAGACTTATCACAAAGTCCGACAAGAGACACGGCCATATAAGCCTTCTCCAGATAACCAGTTGTTTCCAAGAGAAATATAAAAAATTGTAGGGAGCAGTCCTCCTTTTTATTGACCTAGGACTTGAAAGGAAAAGGCTTTCATTCCTGGCACTTCACACAAGGCTTGAAACAGCCTCAGGGCATGCTGAAGGCCATTGCTAGAAGATGCACGCAGTACCAGAACTCTAGGTGTCCAAACCAGACACCCTTCTCTCTACGACTACGCCTTGAAATCCCACTGACACTCCAAATTCCCACAAAAAGCTTGAGGACCAGATGGTTTCAAGCAAAAATTTTGCTACAGTGATTCTCGAAAGTGCTCACATGCCTCTTAGTGTTTACATTTACTGTAGCTGTTTACGGTAATATATATTTATACGAGCAATCAGCCTAATTTTTTAAATGATTTTTACTTGTATTATTTGCTTGTTGATGCTTTACGTATTTTTTTTTTGTCCTCTCTTTCCAGGCTTCAGGATGTGATGACACAGAGATCCCAGATGAGGTGAAGTTGATCGGCTTTGCGCAGTTAAGTGTTAGCTGATGTTCCCTTCATCTTTGAAGCAGATGAGGCAGGGAAGACAGTTCAGGGCAGACAGACTGAGGAACACACCCTGACCACCACCATCACTTCTTGCTATATCTTTTTCAACTCCCTCCCAGAAAAGCCCTTCTTTGTCTTCCGTCCTTCACTCTTTTTGACTTTCCCAAAGCTCTGCCGTCGCTTTACCACCACCTCTGTAGCGTCGACTTCCCTGCTCGCTGTCCGTCGACCTCTAACCTTAACATTCCAGCACCCAGCGCACAGAACAGTACCAGGATACAGCCCAGGAACCAAAAGATGTACTCAGGTGGTGAAAGAAGGTGATAAATATGTAGCTTTTGAATGTTTTAGTTATTTTCTCACCTCCTTTCTTTAATTTGCACTGCATTACTGTTACTTTCAGCAAAAATCAAAACAATTATTTATTGAAATAAGAAGATATTTTCAATTTTATTTTTGTGCCACATTGTTTTTGTTCCCACTGTGAAAATAAATTTCCTCCCACACTTAATGACTTATGAAAACTCCTTGGGGTTCGTGTCAGAATGTAAGAATCGGTAAACATGTAGATATAAGCACATTTTTTATAACAACACGATGAATGTTTCAAAATAAAACGCCCAGAACGAATTGTTTTATGTGTTCAGACCTGCTTAACTAAAAATGGAAGCGTTTGGTTGAGTGTGCCGAAATAAACGAGACCTGGATGTTACTGTGTTTACTTTGCTGCTCTCAACAATGTTAACGCTTCAGAAAATGCTCGAGGTGCCTTGTTCATTTTTCCGTGCCTAAGAAAGTTGTCAGTGAGTGAGACGACACTGAGAGCAGAACTTGCTGATTGTCACTTCATCAACGCATTCCCTGCAATGAATCGGTGTGCAGTCTCAGCCCGAAGAGGGAAGACGAAATGCACTTTTGTGTTGAGATGCGCAGCCAACAAACTGACTCTTAATTTACGTGCTTTCAGACAAATAAAACCTGGTGGAACCTGCAGTTGTGTACTCTTGCTCTAATCGGTTTCTATCCGATGCCACAATCCAAAACTGGGATTTTTTTGTTTTGTTTTGTTTTGTTTTGTTTTGTTTTGTTTGAATAAGTGAAGTAGCTACCTAATTGTACTGTATGACATCGAAAAAATGGAACCAAACAGCGTCTGCTGAGTGTGAAGAGCCGTTTGTTTGTCCAAACAAGTCCAGTAGCACTAAATCATACTAGGTATAAAAGTGTTAAATAAAACTCCTCTAAAAACTTTTATTTTCTGAAGTAAATTATTGTTTGTTTTTTATGTACACTGTGCATCATTTCAACATATTATCCATTTCCCTTCTCTGTAATCAGCTAATGTCAAATTTCTGATGAGAAGCAACAAATAAAGAATATTTAAGAAATGTGTGATTTCTTGATTTCATTGCTACAAATTTAACTACAGGCTATGACTTCCCTTTTTACTGGGGTACAAATATAACAGGATACAGAGACTATTTTCTTTTTGACAAAAAATCTCAAAAACTCACTGAGTGGGATATTATTATATGGAAGAATATGGGCACATTTTGAAGCTATACACATCTTGCATTGCCAATAAATGTAGAGGGCACTATAAAAGTAGGGCTTTATTAGACACTGAACTTCTAGTTCAAAGTGTATAAAATCCATCATTACACAATTAAATTGTTGCTTAAGCACTTGAGGAGCATTGCTACAGACAGAGGCTGTAGAAAGAAGTGAAATAAAAATGGAAGATAGAGACCAAATTAAAGCCTATCGCAGTGAAAATAGGCAGTACAATGCAGTCACGGGGTTTGAATTAAATATGCAAATTATTTTAAATAATGTTTGGCAACAACTTAAGAATAAAACAAAAAAACACAATCCTTATATCTGTGTAACAGAGAAACTGGAAGAAGACAAGCAAGTGAAAGTACTAATTTAATTGTAATTATTCAAGTTTTTTTGTTTTGTTTTGTTTTTTTTTGTATAAAAACATACAATATATAACAACAATCCCCTTATGGGATAAAAGCTTTCACAGTAAATGTCACATTAGCTTATAAGACTACAAAACCTCAGTGTAAATAAAAAGGAAAAAGAATAATTGGCCACCGGAGCCACATTTTCTCTGAGAGAGCTAAGACGTTCCCATGTTGTTTATACAGTGACAGTGATTCTGCACAGCCACTGATATGCCAGATACATATTACAATACATCCAGTCCGTAATGATCCCGGCTCGACATAACAGGAGTCTTGCATGGCACGATGCAGTGCTTTTCTTGGTGCGCGTAGCAGCTGATGAGCTGAAACAGCTGCTGATATACAACACACATAACCAAGAGCAGCAGCTACAGTAATGAGAGGCTGGTAGCCGAGACACATAATTACCTCTGGCAAGGAAACGGCAAAGTAGGAAAACAAGAAAATGTGTCTAATTTCCAAAACCTACACACTGCTTATTTTGGAAGAAAAAAAAAAAGGCAATGTGATGATGATTGTATGTAAACAAAAACATCAGGTGAATTCATCATGAAAAAGTTGCAACTTTTCCACACTCTTAATATAAACTCTATTGTGTTAGACTATCATTTCACCCTACTTGGATTTTGACATTAATAATAGACTGTATTTTTTTTATATTTAGCCTCATTAAAAAGATGGAGAAAGGGAGTAAAGAGCATGAGGAGAACATGTCAGAAGCATGGTCATCAGGGTTGCACTTGCAATCTCATGCTTCCGAAGGTCTCCTAAAACTACACTTTTAGAGATCATTATTTAGAGCTCTACTATACAAGTCATGGAATATATATTTGATTTCTTCACATTCTTTTGGATTGCACTCCAGGAGGGTCAGCAGCTGGGGAGCCAGGAGAGATTCTTGCTCAAGGACACTTGCAGTAAAGGGGAGAACAGCTTTAAAATGCATGGGAAATGTCTGAATGTCTGCACTGTCTCTACAGGGCAGGCCGCGTCAGTTAGTGCTTTCTTCCTTCTGATTGGCATATTTCTTACAAAGAAGCAAATACCTACTAGTAACAACCCAGCATTTAAAGAGCTACTTTAGGACTTCTGAAGTGGGGCTCTGTCAAAACATTACACCCAGTTAATGTGAAGAGTGAGGACATTTAAAAAAACTCAAATATATAAGTCACTGATGTTTATGCAAACTTTATTTTATGAACTTATGGCATAAAAAGCTGTATGTAGTCATATATATGTATATATATGCACACACAGCAATTGTTTTTTTTTTATGTAACTCTAATATTTGTTAAGTATATGTAAGAAAAGGTTAAAAGAAAAATTAAACAGCAAAAGAAAAGTTGCCACTTACACTATGCCAAAAGGCACTAGATATGTTTTTTTTATTTTTAAAAACTCAATATAACAAAAAAGACCCCTGTCTAATTTTAAAGGCAACTTGTTGCAAAGTTTGGGAGTTACCACTTTACAAACCCAGATTTCCGTAGGATACAGTGAAACAACACTTTGAGGAAGCTATGATGTTAAAAGGAGGCCGTGATTGACCTCAACTTAAAGAGCACTTCAGTAGCCAAGACGGGGTTGTAATGCATGTATTATTCTCTCTAGTTGTTTTCTTCATAGCGTTTGCTGTCTTACCTATTTATAAAAGTCTTTTCTGCAAAGTGTGGCTTATCTGTTTAATAATTTTCCAAGACTATAATTACTACAATTTATAGACTACAATTTATTACCAATATGCTCATAAATACTGATATGGCAGAATAAAACAACCTTTGTTTTACTTTCATTGTACGTTGGAAAATTCCGAGCTTAGAATGACGGAGTAAGTACAGATAAAAAAAAGAAAAGAAAAGAGGAAAAGACAGAATCTAAGGAACTCCACATGAAAGAGGTGCTGGAGTAGACAGAAACTTGTTGATATTAAGATCAGCGATTTCTTTTATTGTGCCAGTCCTATGCTGTAACTCAATGTTCCAGATACCACATACAAATTGTGGAATAAACAGTATCAAATGCTCCCGTTAAACTACATAGTACAAAGATTGCAAAGCTTCCATCATCTGCTAAAATTAAATGTTTAAAAACAGTTAACAGTGCTATTTAGATGCCTAAAGCTAGTCTGGAAATCCTCCAAAATTGTGCAATTGTTCAAAAATGGCACCATGTTTAAACATCTTTAGGTCTCTCTAGAGGAGGGGTCTTCAACTCTAGTCCTCAACGGACCATTTTTAGATCTGTCTCTGCTTCAACACACCTGAGTCAAATAATGAGGTCATTAGCAAGACTCTGGAGAACTTGACTGCATACTGTGGAGGTAAGTCAGCAGTTTCAGGTGTGTTAGAACATTGTGATGTTGTTTTCACTGGAGTGGCATATGACATTCTGCTTTTATCCTACTTTAGACTCGGTTTCAGCCTCTGGAAGAAACCAAACTACATTTATACTTAATGAACACGGTTAACAGTTGTATTCTCCAGGGAAGATATTAAGCGCTTTAACAGAACCCAACTTTAAAACTCCTAAACAACTGCTTTAAGAGTGAGTGACTGTACACACCGCTAATGCTAATTAATCCATGTGTCATAAAACATGGACTTGCAGAAGCAACTGCAGGTTCTTGCATGATTAAATGTGACAATTTGTAATAAGGCCAAAGTAAATGAGGTTGGGTGGGGGGTCAGCTGGATAAATTGGAGTTGTTCTTTGTCGATCCTCATGTCTCCTAACATCTGAGGTGCTTCTTGCTGGACATGTCATTCCAGATGCGGTGCATCTCCTCCGGGGGGATCTGATGGACTGTGATGACGCGCCGGTACCTGCAAAGACTGTAGGCCATTTTCCAGTGGTTGAAGCCACTGTTCTGATAAGGGTGGATGCCTAGTTTGCGCAAACACATCCCCACATACACGTCCTCCAGGTGCAGCAGTCTTGTGTGCAACGAAGTCTTGTAGATTAGCTCAGCTACATCTGCGGAGAACACGTAGCCGGTGCCTGAGCAAAATGGTGGGTATTTGTTTTCAGGGTATAGGTCTCTGGGCATGTACCACTTGCTGCGCATATCTCTGATAGGACCACCGTTTATCACGTAGCCCGTGAAGTATCTCCTTCTGGGCTTGGTGCTGGGCTTTAGAAGCTTGTAAATAAGATTGTCCATGTTGACGAAGATGTCGCTGTCTGTCTTCATGACATATTGAGCCTTTGGGCAGAATGTCGCTACCCAGCGCATGCCCATTAGAGTCTTGAGGGTGAGATTGTGGTACGAATCAATAAAGTTCTCCACTACAATATCATGGAAGATCTGACTCTCCTGCTCCACCATCTGATTGAGCACATCGTCTGTGTTCCTCCCCAGAAGAAAGACGGTGAGAATGTGGATGTCGCTGTAAGTGCCCTCATCGCCCCAGGTCTCTCGGATGGCCTGCCGTGCGTCAAACTCCTTGTGTGTGGTGCTGATGAGGATGACCAGGAAGGGCGTGATGCTTTCACACTTCTTCGGCTCATTTATTACAAATTCGAAGGCATGTGGGTTGAGGGGGCGCGTGCGGATGTTGGTGAATGTGATGTTTTTGGGAGGAGGTTTCACAATCCTTCGTTTAGGCATAGCCATGTGGCCGACATATGTGGACGTCGGCCGCGAAATGCTCAAGTACCACAATGCGCTCGCCCAGCAAACCACTGTCAGGATGTATAAACATGATACTTTCGAAGGCATTATGCTGCTCTTAGGTGTATTTTGATGAGCTGGCTCTTATAAGGTTTTCCTTCCATTAGTGAGGTTTCACCCAGTGAGGCAGCATTAAGCTGCTCAAGCATGTGTTTTGACATTAATTGTCAATAATGGATTGCTTTAGAGAGAAGAGATGCTTTTTGCAATTCAACGTGAAGCACTTTAAAACTGAATGAATGTCCAGATTCTTGGCGAAAAGCATGGCATCTCCATTTACATCTGAAAAAGAAGAGACAGAAGCATCAGTATAAAATATATAGTATGTGTGGTTTTAAAAATGTACATATACATTAATTATTCATCAGCTTTTATTTTAAATGCATTAATCTTTGTAGAGGATGTTAATGTATGCAAAATAAATGACCTAAACAATGTAGGGAAGCAATCACTGAATGCTACATAAAAAAAATCCCAATAAATTAGCCCATGTAGTCAAAATGATCGACATAAATCATGTTTAAAATGATAAGTTTTTTAAACTTTGGAATACATTTTGCCAGGGGATGAAAGAAAAGTTTTCAAAGGAAATCAACGTATAAGCACAGTAGATCAAAGTTTTGGGTGAAACTACGCATCACATACTGACATGTAGATATGGCGGGGATTCATGTTGAAAATCTAAAGGGTATATAAACATGTAGGTCATATCCTCAGGCTTTGATGTTTTCTGTGGATTTTTTGT